TACATGTCTAATAAGTTTTCTTTAAAGCTAAATGTGTCAAAATCAATGTAAGAAATTTTTAAGGTAAATGCAAATTAGAACAACGAAATTTTGAATCAATGTATGAGACGATAAAATTGCGGACTCCTGGCAAACAAATGAACTAAAGACCAAACCAACCTTAGACCTTTGGTTAATCTTCCATGCAGCCAAGAAACCAACTAACGGTACAACATAAAACCAAACTGAAAGATAGGCAATTGTTTACCAAGATTAAGCGGTGGAAGGGAGAAATCAGTAGGATTTGGCTTCTAGCTGTGGGCGGTGAATAAAACCTGTGATGACAGCTGCCCATTTGTTTACTACATGAAGTGATGACCAAAAGGGGGAAAGAGGACAGCGGTGAAATTGTTTGGGCGGTGGCCGAGTGAAGAAACACATTTCATTTCTTTCTTACCAATCAAATATTAAGAGTAAGACTGAGAGAGAGAGAGACGAAACCACATTTCTTTATCTCAGTACTCAAACCAGAGGGAGAAAAAGGAAATATATCTGATTTCCTCTTGCTTCCAGTCGCAACCGAGAGAGAGTGAGGAGGGGAGAGTTAGAGAAACCAGCTTGTAACCCCAGTACCGTGAGCCGAAAGTCAATACAAAGGGGAGTCTGGTGCAGTTTAGGAACTGAAGCAGGAAACCATACGTGCAGCCTGCAAATTTTTTTTTCAAACACTAGGTGGAAGGAAAGAGGTAAATGACTGCAATAATCTTTCGATCATCTGGTATAATTGACTGCCTAGGTTGCATGTTCAATTCTAGATAGGAAGCTGAGTTTAACGTTGCTAATGACTGACTAAAAGTTGAAAAGAAAAACTGTGGCAACCAGAAAGAGTAAGCCGGAAAAGATTGGAGTTCGCTGCTGGAATTTTTTTCAGTTTCAGCCGAGGGAAAAGAAAGAATAATATCAGGTTTCCTTGTTGATTTTGCTCCAAAATTTTACCCTGAAACTTGATTCGTTGCATAGTATCCTAGCTTTAACCTGCATGGAAGACTTGTGTATAAATAACGAAACTTTGAAGAGCTTCATGTTGTATTATCAGCTGCTGCATGCGTTTCTTTCAATTTGACCGAGTAGAAGGCCTGGTTCAGCTATGGTTTCAGCTCCTTGGCTGTTTCCTGCAAACCCTTTGCGTCTAACTGATTTACAGAGTTGAAACCTGTCCTAATGCCTCTAAACTTTAACCAGAAAAACAGGAATGAGTAGGATCTAAACTGAGTGATGAAGGGGGGGAACAAGTTCACTGATTGCAGGTTGTTGGCCGAGGGAAGGAAGCAGAAGGTGCTTCTGACAGGCCATTTTTGACCTTAAAAATGTGAGAACTGGGTGTCGATGTCTTTATAAGAAATGTAGGTCTATGTCTTAGTTTCGAAACGCTATAAAATTTGCCTCAATCCGATAAGCATAGCTCTAGTTATGATCAAAACACCAGAGGATGGCAAAGCTGCCATCTTCCTTGTTCCTCATTGCTTTCTTTTATTTCCCGAATGCATTTTGCTATAATGCTAGCCGTGAGGAAACCTATTTTTTTTTTAACAACATTTCATCTAATTTCCAACCTTGTAAGCTTTCATAAATGGTAGCTACAGTTGTTTTGAGATTTAATGGCTATATATAGTTCTACGAGTAGAGCTAAATTAAAGCAAATGAGACGAAAACTCATGAAAGTTACGTACCTGAATTGGCTTCTAATCACTTAATATTGTCCTTACAAATATTTTAAAGACTATAAAATTGGAGGAACTGGTGTAGTGGAATAAAATTTAAATTCCAGATAACCTAGAGTTTAATCAATTAAAATGGCACCAATGGAATACTCCTAAACCTTAATCTTAGAATCTTGAGTGGAAAATGATTTAATCCTAAAATAAATATTTTTATAAATCGTTAACCGGGGAAATACGTATGTTTCTTGATTTAAGACAATAAAGTCAATAAGTCTCGAAATAAATTGGGGAATAAATATTGGGGGATAAATATTGCGTGTATTTTGTATTTTAAGGTCAAACTTGATTTTAATAAGTTAAACAATAAGGTAGAATAAATGTTGAATATGTTATATTTTATATTTTAAAGTCAAACTTAATTTGAATAATTTAAATAATAGGCGAACATCTACAAATTGTAAATTTACCAATTTAAATAATAGGTGAACATCTACAAATTGTAAATTTACCATGGAATTATATATTTATCTCAGGAAGTAGCTGCGAGCCAGGAAACAAACCCAAGGCTCGAGAGTAATTTATTTAAGAGTTTGGTGAGTGTTTTTCGAATTTATGTGTTTAACTGTTTATGTTTACTTAAGTAAAATTATGTGATAAATGTGCTTATTATGAAATATTGTTAAGTGATTCATTGCAAAGTGTATTTTAATTGTCCCTCGCCTTCTAAGACGAGAGTGTACTTTATTGCACTCGATTTAGTTGAGGTTGAAGGTCGATAATTGACTGAATGTTACTGTAAGTGCGCATGAATGTAAGCCGTATGTGTGCCTCGCCACATCGGCTGAACTGGGCCCCAAAACCCTCTGTTCAACGGACTATTCGAGCCAGCAAAGGGCTTGGTCGGGTAGGACTGTAGTTTTGGGTAAATGTTTCGGTATACTCGAGTATTACCATGAGGTTGGGAGATTATTGAACTGATTATTGAATGTAGGGGATTGTTTATTATTTTGGAGGACATAAAGAGGTGAATTGGCGGAATGTACAATGATATTGAAATGAATGTACAATGACAGTGAAATGATTGTCTCTTGACACTGAAATGAATGCTCAATGACATTGAAGTGGCTCTAATGCGAGCACCGTATCCTTTTAAAAGTGATTGTTTAGTGAAGTGTTTCCCCAATTGCTTAATGAAAGTGATTGTACAGTGAAATGTGCACTACTTGCTTAATTGTACTGATTTAAGGGTTTATTAAAAGTTACTTGCTCGGCAAACCTCACTGAGCTTTAACTCAGCCCTTTAGTTTTGTTTTCCTTATAGGAGTTGGTGGTCGGGGAACGAACGAGGGATCTTAGGAAATTAACGTGAAGACTTTTGTGATTGTAAATCCTTTAGTTTCATATTATGGTTGAAACTTTTGTATTGAATTTGGTATTGTAAAAGATTTGAGCGTTTGGTTTTGGTTTATCAAAATGTTATTTCTGAAGTTAATGTTAGTGAGTTCTAGCGAAAGTCGGGCAGGTGGTCCGCTAACTCCTAGGGTATGCTCTGAGAGAAAGTGGGGTCGTCACAGCCTTTGTGCCTGGAAGATAAATTTTGGATAATGTTATAATCTCTCATGAATACTTGCATTACCTCAAAAACAAAAGACAGGGGTCTCAAGGTTTTATGGCTTTAAAATTAGATATGTCAAAAACTTATGACAGGGTGGAGTGGGGATACCTGAAAGCAATCATGGCAAGAATGGGGTTCTGTGATATGTGGATCAACTGGATAATGGAGTGCATCACAACAGCTACGTTCTCTTTCAACATAAATGGGGAACCAAAAGGTTATGTAATACCTTCAAGGGGAATTAGGCATGGTGATCCTTTGTCACCTTACCTATTCCTACTAGTATGAGAAGGCTTTTCGAATTTGTTGGCTCAAGCAGAGAGGAATCACAGGTTGACTGGAATGAAGATTAGTAGAAATGGCACTTCAATAACTCACCTCTTCTTTACAGATGACTCCTTGATATTTTGCAAAGCAGAAAAGACTCAAGCTGAAGAAGCGATGGAAATTTTGAAGAAATATGAAAAAGGCTCAGGACAGATGATCAATATGGAAAAATCCTCAGTGTTCTTTAGTAAGAATATGGAACAGGATGAACAAAGTGAGATTTGCAACAGATTAGGAAACATAAAGGTGGTGAAACAAGGGAAGTACTTGGGCTGCCAATGGTTATCACAAGAACCAAAGACCAAATCTTTGGTTTTATCAGAGAAAAATGCCAGAAAACAATCTCTAACTGGTGCAACAAGAAGCTAAGCCAAGCAGGGAAGGAGATTTTGCTGAAAACAATAACTATGGCAATGCCAACTTATGCAATGTCATGCTTCAAGCTTCCAGTGAAGTTATGCAAAGAAATAAATGTGTTGATGGCAAGATTCTGGTAGGGAGAAGACAGTGGAAAAAGAAAAATTCACTGGTGTTCATAGAAAAAGATGACAGCTGACAAGAACACTGGGGGATTAGGATTCAAAGACCTCCAAGGTTTCAATAAAGCTTTGCTGGGCAAACAGATTTGGAGGCTACTCACATGCCCGAATCTACTGATGAGTAAAGTGATGAAAGCTAAATACTATCCCAAGGAATCACCATTGAGATGTGAAGTAAAAGGTAACTCATCCTAGATATGGAAAAGTCTGATGGGAGCAAGAGAGGAAGTGCAAAGACGAGCAAGAAAGAAAATTGGAAATGGCAAAAGCACCAACATTTGGGAGGATGCCTGGATACAGGAATGCAAGAGAGGTAAACTAGAATCCCCTAAACCCCCAGATTGCAAGATCAGTAAAGTGAGTGATTTGATATCCAACTTTAGATGGAATTCACCACTCATATTTAGGATCTTTAGTTCAAAGGAAGCTGGAAAAAAAATACTCAAGATGCCTGTAAGCTGAACTGGTAGACCTGATTGCTACTTTTGGAGCCATAGCAACAATGGACAATACACGGTCAGGTCAGCATATGAAGCAATGACAAGAGAGGATAGGCAGTTGAAAACACATGAGAGAAATGAGGGAGAAACAAGCTGGGTAGGGGGAATTGAAAAAGCTTGGAAACAACTATGGAAGATTAGGATAAAGCACAAGCAAAAGTTGTTTCTATGGAAGAGCTTGCATCAAGCATTACCAGGAAGGGAAGCAATATATAGAAGAATAGGAAAAGGTGATATGATCTGCAAGGTGTGTGGAGAAAACAGTGAGACAGTGGAACATATATTCTTCCAATGCAGAAGAGCATGAATGATATGGCAGATGGCACCACTACAGTGGGATGGACTTAAGGAATATACAAGTGATTTCAGAAGGTGGTGGAGTAAGCTAATGGAAGTGAAGGCCAGAAAGGATGGAATGGAACACATAGTGGACATACTTTGGCAGATTTGGAAAGCCAGGAATGAAACAGAATTTGAAGAGAAAGATAGACATCCAATGGAAGTAATTAGAAAAGCAGTCAAGGAGTGGGAGGAATATCAAAAATCTCAACAGACAGAACATCAGATGAGCATCTCAGAAACAGAAATAGCACATGAACAAGAGGAAAGGGTGGGGGAAGATGAAAACATGCTGAACATTTGTGAAGATGTGGGGCAACATGTAGAAGGTCAGAACATGGGAATTGGAATCACAACAGAAAATAATATGAGCCAGATATGTGCAGCTTGGATATTGAAAGAGAGAAGCACTGGATTAGTTGTGCTGGATAATCTTCTAGCTATACAATTGGCACTATGTAAGATAAAGGAACAAGGCTGGCAGTCCATCAAGATCCAAACACCATGCTCTCAGGTCCTAAAATTGATCAGGAATCAAGCCTCAAGAGATATACGTTTAGCAGCTCACCTAGAGGACATAAAAGACCTCAGCTCAATGTTTAGGACATGCTCATTTGATAGTTTGCCTGGTGAATTTAATAGGCTCAGTGTAAGACTGAGTAAATTAGCAACGCACATACATTTTGATGAGGAATTCCTAGATCCTCAGTGTCTCAATACACTTTTGTAAAGCCCAAGTTTGAGCCCTTGCTCATATATTGTAATGTTCTCTTATTAGCAATAAATATTTCTATTGTTTCAGGAAAAAAAAGAATAGAAAACAAAGCACAAAAGAGTAGGACATTAGAATTAATTAATCAATGTATTGCTTCCATCGAACACTAATATTTCATTGAATTGTGGCATTCAAATAAGTAAAATAATTGACTATAGTTATTATAACTATTTAATTTACTTTTCAATATCAATGTCAATGCATTTTGAGCACAGTGGACACTTTATATATAAAGACAAGATTTAAGCACTTCTACCTAAAGAGTTAAAATCCATGTTTGGAAACTGTTCAAAAAGACTTGTGGAATAAAATTGACCATTTTTTATAGGCCAGAAATTATTGTTTGAGCAAAAGACTATGAGGTGCCTACTAAACGAGTTCAATTTAAATGTTTGTGAAATATAGATTTGCTACAAGATATACCATGATCATCAAAGAAATGTTAATGATATTTGAACATGTATATTAAACATGAAGCATATTTCGCTGTTGGTTCTTCATCCGTGGTTGCCGGGACCCTTGATTTTTTCATTTGTTCATGCAAAATGTTCAATGGAGAAATGTCGTGAATTATGATACAACTTGCTAAGTGATAAATCTAGTGCTTCTCCGTGGTGTATTGGGGGAGATTTTAATATCATAACGGCCCCCACAAAAAATGGGGAGGCTGGCCCTTCTCAATGGCTGAAGGCGTGGAGTTTCTGGCGTTCATGGAAGAGGCTAGGATTTTTTATGCTGGATTTTCGGGATCGAGTTTTACGTGGTGTAATAATAGGAGGGGACGAACGCGAATTTGGAAACGGCTAGATAGATTGTTAATCAATGGAGAGTGTCAAGGTGTTGCTTCGGCAATCTTTGTTGTCCATCTAGCAAGGCACCCATCGAACCACTCCTCGCTGAAAATCTCGTTTGCTTCCAGGATAGACAATAAACCGCGACCGTTTCGATTCTTAAATATATGGGCAGCAAGATCAGATTTATTGGAGGTAATTCGACGGGCCTGGAATGTGGATATGCCGGGCTCCCCTTTGCGGATTTTGTGCTCTAAACTGCTGGCGACTAAGAGGGGTATTCAGGAATAGAATAAGCAATCCTTTGGGAATATTTTTGATGCGGTCAGGGAGGCGGAGGTAGGCTTATTAAGAGCCGAAGCGGCTGCTGAGAATGATGTCTTTGAGGCGGCGCAAGTTGAGCTACAAAAGGCCCAAGCGGAGTTTAGGAGGACGCTAGCGGTGGAAGAACAATATTGGCGTTAGAAGGCTAGAGTAAAATGGCTTCGTAGTGGAGACCGGAACACCAAGTACTTTCACTCGGTGGTTCAGCAGAGACGGGTCCAAATAGGGGTGCAAACGAGCCGAGCTCGAGTCGAGCTTTGGCTAATCGAGCCGAGCTCGAGTTAATTTTGTGAAGCTCGAACTCGAGCTCAAAATATCAAGCTCGAGCTCGAGCTTAAAAAAATAATTATTATTATTTTATTTTTAAAAAATAAAAAATAATTATTTATTTTTAAAAATGAATAAAACAATAATTTTTTTAACAAATAATAAAATATTAGGGATATATATGTAATTTTACTATTAAAATAAAAAATAAAAAATAAAAAAAAATATATAATTGAACTCGCGAGCCAACGAGCTTAATGTTTTTGAGCTCGAGCTCGAGCTCAAAATCGACTTAATTAGCTCGAGCTCGAGTCGAGCTCGATATTGACGAGCTCGAGTCGAGCTCATATTCGAGCCGCTCGCGATCGGCTCGATTCGCGAAACACCCCTAAGTCCAAGGAATGATACATAGAATTAAGAAAGCAGATGGATTATGGGTGGAGGACGATGAAGCGATAGCAAATGAGGCGGTTGCATATTTTTCTGATCTGTTTTCTGGATCCACAAATTCCAAGTTGGGTGGGTTGCTAAACTTAATTCCATCGATGCTCATAGGGGAGGATAATATGGGGTTAGAAGAGGTGCCGACCATGGAAGAAGTTAGATGAGTGGTGTTCGCAATGGATGGAGAAAGTGGTTTTATGAGTAAGTTCTTTACCTTTGCTTGGGACATCATTGCTAATGATGTTCATAGGGCAGTGGTGAGCTTCTTTTGTGGGCCAGAGCTCCCTCGGTTTATCACGTCTACCTCTATAGTGCTGCTTCCAAAAGTTCCTAATCCCCAAGATTTCTCTAAGTTTCGGCCGATAAGTCTTTGTAACTTTTTCAATAAACTGGTTTCCAGGATACTGGTGGAACGTGTAGCTCCGATTTTACCAAAAATTATCTCTCCTCAACAGATAGGGCTTGTCAGAGGGCGGAACACCACGGAAAATTATTTGCTAGCCCAGGAACTGATAACAGGCATTGGTAGGAAATCCCAGAGAGGCAATGTGGCGCTAAAGTTGGACATGGCGAAGGCGTATGACCGGATGTCTTGGGTGCATATCATTGGTGTTTTACGGAAATTTGGCTTTGGGGAGAGGTTTATAGACATGGTATGGCGGTTAGTATCGAATGTCTGGTTCTCGATTATCATTAATGGGGTGTCACATGGGTTCTTCAGATCTTGCAGGGGTTTGTGACAAGGGGATCCCTTATCTCCCGTGCTGTTTGTTATTGGCGCGGAAGTGTTATCCCATGGATTAAATACCTTAGCTCGACAAGTGGGTTTCAGGGGATTTACGGCCCCAAGGGGCTGTCCTACTGTTACCCACCTAGCTTTTACAGATAACGTAATAATTTTTTTGAATGGGTTTTTCGCTGAGTTAAAAAGCATTATGTAGGTATTGGGGACGTATCAGCAATCTTCGGGACAATTGGTGAATGCTTAAAAGAGTGGATACTTAGTTCATCCGTCAATGTCCCCTGCTTGCAGAAGGGTGATTGAGAGGGTCACGTAGTTTTCGCGGCATGTCTTCCCATATCGGTGTCTTGGATTTCCTCTATATATCGGAAGGTGTAAGTCATCATACCTTGGGGAATTAGGTCAGGCTATGCTGCAAAGAATCATCTCCTAGAAAACAAAATTTCTCTCATCGGGGTGAAAATTAACCTTGCTCAAGCATGTTTTGATGTCCATCCCAGTACACTTGTTATCAGCTGCCGTATTACCTGCCTCAGTGTTTAAAATGGTAGAAAAGGTGTGTACAAATTTCCTTTGGGGGGAATCGGAGGAAGGAGTGAAATATCATTGGATTAGCTGGTCTCATTTATGCTATTCGGTTGAGGAGGGAGGAGTGGGACTTAGATGGTTAAGAGATGTTTATGCGGCATTTTCATGCAAACTGTGGTAGCAGTTTAGGACTGGATCGTCGCTCTGGACAGGTTTTATGTGGGCTAAATATTGTAGAGATCTTCACCCATGTCATTGAACTGAGTCGGTATGCCTCGGGGACATGGCGGAGAATGCTAAATATTAGTAGGCAAGTGGAGCTATCTATGGTCAGGCTGATTCAGAAAGGTTCATGTCATTTTTGGTATGATAACTGGATGGAAAATAGCGCATTGTTTCTTAAAACTACGGTGAATCCAACTCTCTCTTTCACAAACTTCATTGCAAATGGGAAGTGGGATGCACACTTGCTCTCCCAAGTTATCCCACTCGACCTATTGCCTTCTGTTTTGCACCACCCGGTCCCTCAGGGGGGGGCAGACTGATGAGGTAGTATGGAGTTTGACTTCATCTGGCAAATTCTCATTGGCATCGGCCTTCGATGAGGTACGTCAAGCTCGAAGTTCTTCGATCGTTCACTCTCACATCTGGCATAGTCGCATCTCATCAAAAGTTTCCTTCTTTATGCTGCGTTTGTTGCTTGTTAGGCTGCCACTACCTAACATTTTATATAAGATGGGTTTTCAGATGCCTTCGAAATGTCTATGCTGTCATGATGGAGCAAGCGAGACGTTGGAACATGTTTTTTCGAAGGGTCAGATTGCGAAGGAGGTATGGAATTATTTTATTAGCATGTATGGTCTCAAGGGTATAGGGTCAGCACTACGAGCTCGGGTAGTGGCTTGGTGGATGTGGGCTCCGAGGTCAGAGAAAAGGCGACTCATCTTCACGATGTTGCCTAGTTTTATTTGCTAACACATTTAGAGGGCAAGGAACAAAACGGTGTTTGATGGGATCCGGATGTGCCCAGTTACTATTTGCCAAGCCATTATCTTTGACATTACGTCAGGGATAGAAATTCATTTTAATCAGAGACTTGGAGTGGTCTCATTCCCCCAGCTGTATGACTGGTCTGGTCAACAAGCTGGCGGCTTTAGATATCAGCTTGTGCGGTGGAAGGCAACGGAGATGGGAGGTCTAACGCTGAATACGGATGGGTGTTCCAAGAGCAATCCAGGATGGAGTGGTGAGGGGGAGATCTTGTGTGATTCATCAGGCAGGCCTATATTGGCTTTCTCGGCGTTCTTTGGGAGAAGATCAAGTTTGCACGCGGAAGTTCTAGCAATGTTAACTGGGCTTCGGCAGTGCGTAGAGAAGGGATTCGTCGATATTGAGATTCAATCGGATTCTCAGGTATTGGTGGGGATTCTTCAACGACACTTTTGGTGCCCATGGCAAATCCGTCGCGAAATAGAGCATCTCTAGAAACTGGTGGAAGATGTGGCGCGGTTTTCTCATTGTTTCAGAGAAGCTAACAGTGTAGCGGATATTTTGGCTAATGTGGGTGTCACTCATCATCAGCATACGTGTATTATCTATGACCACTTAAGCATGTTCCCAAAACTGGCAAGGGGGGAGATTCGACTAGATAGGTTAGGCATGTCATCTGTTAGGAGGATAAAGGGGGAGAGAAGGCGATAGTGCGGGTTGGAAAATTTGTACTTTTGGTTTACCTTTCATCAATAAAGAAAAACCTAGTTTATAAAAAAAAATGAATGAGTGCTTCATTTAAGATTTAACTTTTTAAACAATTCCAAATTGATTACATTTTAATATGGTTTATTAAACATGTCTTTAACTATTAAGCTTATTGAAAATGCCTTAAACCCGAAAATAAACAAATAAAGTATTAAAAAAGATATATTACTGAAGTTAGAAGAAAATTTCCAAATAAATTAACCTTCAACGTTCAAAAATTAAATATGTGGAACATATAAAAGTATAATTTAATTTTTCACTCGCCATATAGTTCTCGATTAAATATAACTATAAACAGTTACAATAAGAAGTTATTTGACATGCGACACAAGTACACCTAAACTAATTAACAATTTAGCTTAATAAAAGTAGTTCTCCAATCAATTAAAATTCCATGATAACTATTTTGAAAATTTTTTAAGGCTAAACCCCATACAGGGGCTACCCCTTAATTTTATTAAAACTGATGAGAATATAAAGACCAAGGCCCATTCAAGCACATGGGGAATTGGAAGATTCAAGTGAAGACTAGTTGATTGCACGAATGCTTGAGTTTAGTAGGATTATTTGATTTTCCTCGTTGATTTTGATTATTTCTCATTTTAAAAAGTCTAGGTAATTAAGATAGTTTAATTGCGGCCCATTTGTTAGTAAGTGAGGCCCAAAATCTTCCTTAAGTATGTAGGGTAGTTTGGTCAAGATTTGGATTAGGGTTAATGCTTGTAAGGGCTATAAATAGCCCCACTTCCTCTTTGTTTTGGGATCGGTTTTTGACTATTAAATACAATTAGTGAGTTTTCACTTTCTCTTTGGCAAGAGAGCTGCCTTTGAATACTTGAGAATCTTCTCAAGTTATTCATCCGAACTTATCAATCGAGTATCTCCTTGATTGTGGCGTTCTACTACCTCCAATTTGGTTCGTTAATTCGAGTAGTTACGGGTTGAGATAATATCAACTACCTCCAATTTGGTTCGTTACTACTCGAATTAACGAACCAAATTGGAGGTAGTAGAACGCCACAATCAAGGAGATACTCGATTGATAAGTTCGGGTGAATAACTTGAGAAGATTCTCAAGTATTCAAAGGCAACTCTCTTGCCAAAGAGAAAGTGAAAACTCACTAATTGTATTTAATAGTCAAAAACTGATCCCAAAACAAAGAGGAAGTGGGGTTATTTATAGCCCTTACAAGCATTAACCCTAATCCAAAAATTGACCAAACTACCCTACATACTTAAGGAAGATTTTGGGCCTCACTTACTAACAAATGGGCCGCAATTAAACTATCTTAATTACCTAGACTTTTTAAAATGAGAAATAATCAAAATCAACGAGAAAAATCAAATAATCCTACTAAACTCAAGCATTCGTGCAATCAACTAGTCTTCACTTGAATCTTCCAATTCCCCATGTGCTTGAATGGGTCTTGGTCTTTATATTCTCATCATAAACATAAATAAAAGTAGAGGAAGCATAAACCTTACCTCCAAATTACACGGGAAATTCCAAAAATTAAAGGAGGAGCACTACTCCCTTATAATGCAAGTGACAACTAAGTTTTACATATTTTTATTGAAGGAAATCCTATTCTATCCATCTGTGACTCGGCTTTGACTAATCTAGGCAAGTGGGCTATCTGTGTGAAATTTGAGTGATTTGCTCTTGACATCCTGCATTAGCGAGTGCATCTGCCAGTCTATGAGCTTGAGGTAACAATAATTAGTCTAGATAAAATAATGACTTAATTGCATGAGCTCCTCTATCTGTTGCTGAATCATCCATGGGCAATGATCTTTCCACTGAAGAATATGAACTAAAAGCATAGAATTTACCTCAACAATAAAGTGATGATACCCTTCCTCCAAACAGGACCGGAACCTAAATAATAGGGCTTTGGCCTCTGCTTGCACGCTAGAGAGAGTACCAAAATAACAAGTGTAAGCCATAACAAAGGAGCCTAAACTATCACTCAAAATTCCTCCACCTCAACCTTGACTCGAATTTCCCTTTGAACACCCATCTGTGTTCAGCTTGAACGCATTCAAAGCTGGTTTTAACCATCTAATCACCTTTGAAGAGTTTCTTGTAGTATACCTCGACACACAATCGATAAACACATGCCATGAATTCTCACCAAACTGTTTTGGAATTTTGCTTATTTTAAAATTTGCTCTTGCTTCTCTAATTTTCCTTTCTTTTTTAATTTTACTTCTCTATTTCTTCCTTACCAAAAGAAACAATGAATAAAGTTTTCTAACATTTACAAGTGTTCTATATGTTGTATTAGAGAGCTAAGTTGATAGCACTATAGTACTTTAAATTGTTAAAACTTCTATTCTTGTAATTAATTTTGAATGAATAATTGTTCTAGTTTGTATCAAAGGAACAAACACTTACAACGTGCAACGCACATATTCCTATACTAGTTTTGTTTAAAGACCGTCACAGTTGTCAATCATTTTCATTGTATAATTTAGAAAGTGATAATTTCAGAAACCTCCTTTGAGGTTTCTAACAATTTTACTTAGCTCCCTTCAGGTTTAGAAAATAATATTGACCTCTCTTGATGCAACAAAATGACTAAAATATTCTCCACTTAATTGATAATTTATTACATGGGAAGGATATATAAAACCAAACGAAAGGGGCTAAAAAAAAAAGGACTGACTAGAATAACTCATCGCGTACAATGCTTCTTGTATTCTCTCCATTCTCTTCTACCTCTTCTCGTCTTCAATCCATTAACACCATCATCTCTTTCATCTACCAACTACACCATCATGCAAACCTGCCATCAGTAGTGTTTATTTTTTATTTTTTTTCTCTCTTTCCTCGTTATTGTACTGTCAACCGCTCTTTTTTTCTTTTTCCTACGTATGGGTTGCATATGTTCAAGAATCAAAATTGTTAAAACCACAAGTTGAGGGAGCCGATAGAATTTCATCTTCGAATTAGATGGAGATTAAGAAGATAGGTGTGATAGGGAAAATAAATCTAACTGATGGGCGATAGTTGGAAGAGGAACAGGGATGAGTGAGGGTTATGTTATTATGTCTTTTTACGTGCTAAGATATTGATATCTTATGTTATTATGTCTTCCAGTGGGGTCTTTTTTTTTGGCGGATTTGCAACTGTTAGTGGTGGTTTGCTATGGAGATTAATTTGTTCTATGTTTCTAAGCACCAATAGAGCTTGAGGTTGCTCTTAATATTGACATGAGGTGGTGGTTGGATAGGTTTTATTCCGTTTTAGGCGTTGGTTTCATAATATGGGATGTGGGTGTTGGTTAACAGAGCCAATATAGTGTCGATTTGGTACTGATGAGGTTGCGAGAGACTTTTAAAGGGTGTTTCAGTTGGTGATTATGGTTGATTTGGAGAGGTAGCAATTCGGGAAGAGCGGGGGCATTTGGGGATAGCAAAATTTATAGAATTCGGAATATAAACTTGGGCTTGCTTGATTAATATGGTTAGGTTTTAACACTCTTGCTATGGGCATAGCATGGGTGAACTTTAGAATTATATATTTTTTAATTGATAAGTAAACCTTTTTCCATTTGCTTTTGAAGTATAACATTTCAAATGGGTGTTTTGCAATATTTCAATATGACTCTAGACTACTGCGTCTATATTGTTATTTAAACAACAAAAGTAGAAGAGGTCGGTATAATTTTTTAAACTTGTAGGGAGCTAAGTGAAATTGTTCGACACCCCAGGAAAGGTTTCTGAAATTATCCCATTTAGAAGAGATAATATAAGTTGTGCCATAATAATGCGTAAAAGTATTTTTACAGCTAAAATGAAAGTAACTACATTTCCGCTATGTCGGGTTTAAGTCAATAAAGATTTAAATAAGATCGTAGCCGAAGCAGCAAATCAAGACATCAGGCACAATTTAAAGAAAACCTATGTTAGATTGCCTTATAAGAAATCTGAAACTGGACAATTGGCATTAAGAAAATACTACTGTATAATCTACACCAAAATAGTTAACCCTCAACGACAGTAAAAGAACCACAAAAGACTATTAATTTGCACCAAACTAGTAAACCTTCAGACACGGTAAAAGAACCATCATAACTGCGACTGAAGCTGTGTCATAATGCAAGTTCTACTTGTTTAGATAGACAACATAAAATAACAGAAAACCATCATTAATTCTTGTAACCTTGAGTAATGATAGTTCTAGATTTCATAGCTAGATCTATTATCGACAAAACATACATACAACATGCTGTATGATATCAAATTTACCTTAAAACTTGAGCCACCTTTTCTCTTTTTCTTTGCTGATGACTGCACTTGAAGCAGATGCATGCGCTGCTTCAGCTTCGGCTAGAAGTTTACGGGTCTCTGTTAGCTTCCTCATAGCAGCCTCATAAACTACCTTCTCTTTCTTGTTTCGAATCACCATTTCTTCTAGTTTCTCAACTCTCATCCTTAACTCCTTTACCTCATCTTCATATGCAACAAGAAGACTCCTATCTTCGTTCCTTCCTGCACCATTTGCCATGTTCTGCTGCTTCTTTGTTGATCCACCATTCAGAGTTTCACCGTGCTTTGCAAGTTGGGTATTTATGAGGCTAAAGACATCTGGTTCAGATTCCTCTTGTTCTTTAGCAGCCCTACAAGCTGCTGCAAATTTTTTCTCACGTTTCCTCTTTCCACCCCTACTTCGCTTCTTTCCTTGATTCTCTTTATCCTTCTTATTTTCCTGATTTTCAACGGCATGATCAAGAGACTGCTTTGGTGGAAGCACTTTAACAGGAATAGGGTCTACAATTCCTTGTCCAGATGCACCTAAACCCATTCCATCCCGATACCCCATGCTTGCCATCATTTTGGAGGCTATACCCCTAGTGTGATTCTCCCACTTAGCAAATATGGCAGTTTCAGTCTGAATGCCTTTTTGTGAGGTCGTTGTTTCCAGAAATCCCAAACCACGGGAGTTATCTTCCCCAGAGTCACTAGAATCAGTTTCTTCTGAGCCTAAATCACTATCTTCTTCATCGCTCACTTCAGCAAATTCTGATAAAGAAAGAGCTCCCACACCAAGCTTTGCAGAGTTTCCATCATCTCGAAAGACAACATGCCCCAGATTGAGCTTCTCATCCCACGATTCTAGTTCAGCTTCTCTCCAGATGCCAAACCTGGCATCTTGCAGTGCCCATATACTTGACCCTGCTAGTGATTGTTCCCATACTGTCGGAATATATTGCTTTAGGGAAGAGATTGGCACATCAACACCTGCAACAACAATTTAGTATAGATGATAGATGACGGAAGCCTAGAAAATATGTTTAAGCAAATTATAAAGAATGCAACTATTTTTAACATCTAGAAAGATAGTCAACTACACAGAATCAGCCATCTGGACACCAGTATGGTAAAGAACATGTAAGACCACAAATACAACCCCTTCTCCTTCCCTCTCTGAAATAGAAAGAGATAAAGGCAAGAGAAGGATAGAAGAAAGCATATATAAGACATGAAAGCAAGAAAAGAAGAGGAAACTATATAAATGAAGGTGGACTGCTCTTAACAAAACACAAATCCACAAAAGGGCAAAAAAATGAATTCCACCACATTTTCTCCTCCAGCAAGCAGAAAAATGTCTCTCCCATTTCACAAACAAGTGTTGTTAGCTCATTTTATCTGGATGAACTAATCCAAAGTGCTAATGTAGAACTCCTTCCCCATTGAGCTATGACAGATCTATTTCTTGGACTATTATGTTGCAACATACCATGTGATAAGCGGCAACTACTACCAAATCGACACCGTTGCTGTAGAAAGAACTTGCACATCTGCACTTTGGTAGTGTAGGATTAGTAAAATGATGCAACCAAAGCCAGCATATGCTATGGAAAAACTCCAATAATAAAACAAAAAATGCTGAAACCTGTTTTAACAATGCCATAGAGCTTTAAGCACATTTTTCTTCTTGTGGACCTCAAAGAGTTAAAAACTTGGTTGAATTAACTAGGAACAACAATGGGAGAAGAACAAGTATAAAAGTGCAAGTTCCAAAAGTTGCACATCAGTAATTTCTGAGGTATTATCCATATCCCACCATTTGTACTTCCTACTATAGTGATCTCTGTGCATGCCAAATTTGAAGTTCATAACAATCGAAATAGCACCTAATCAGAATAGTGATCTCAAAAAGGCTTTACAAATGTAGACTTACTCACTAGGCGTTAAGAACCTATATTTATCTTTCACTTATCCCAACTCTGAAGTTCAAGAGGATTTAGCAGCAGTATGAATCATGCATCCAAGAATGGGAAGTATACGTTGTAAGAATGAAGGGAAGTGATTAACAGTTGTAAATCTAGAATACAATATATGGTGTAAGTCAAAAGAAAAGATACAGCATAGACTTAAAATTGTTGTCAAACTCATTCTAATAAAGGGTCTGTCTATGCACAGATTTAAAAAAACTCCAATTTAAGCTATATTCATATCATCAAATTTGAAACCATGATAAGTACAAAAAAGGACAAAAGATAGATCAATAAACAGCTTAAACTGAACAAATTTCAAGACAAATTAATCTAACATTAGTGCTCAAACTGCTGAACATCTAGACCTGACTTCCCATGTACTCTTTCTATCCATTCCTATAGACAAGAAAATAGGAGCCATTATGAGTCAAAAAAGGAACTACAAGACAAAGTTATGCATCAGTGCGTATCAAATTTTTTGTCCAATTTAAGGTGCAGTAAAAGACATAATACACAGAAAGATGATACTTTCACAGTGTAATACCAACACACAGCACAAGGAACAACACAAGATTAAGATCTTCAGAACTACTTGGCACCAAAAATAACAATAAGAAATACAACCCACTAATTCTATTGGTTTGGTTCATAAGGCCCAGGTTACGTCCAGTGTGGCTTGAAATTTCAAAACTTAGTTACAATTCCTTTTTTCCCTCTCTTTTGTTTCAAAAAAAATTAGAAACATGTCTGCCGGTCTTATACTAAGTAATGTTGAATGCAAATCAGTCTCTAACTGTTGACATATATCTAGCAGTCATCTTTATGGTCCTATACTTGTTTGTTTACAGGTATCCAGTTCAATTTTCTTTAACCATGAAATTCAAAATGAGCTTCTGTAAGTTAACACATGTAATGAACACCTGGAACCTTGGTAACAAAATTTTACATTGTTACCTCAATGATTTGATCCAGTGTTCTTCACATGTTGGTCCAAAATTCCCTTTTGCTTATGCAATAGAAAAACGCTATTCCCAGATCTCCTGCAGGAGCTTTGGAAGATCATGGAGATCTGATTGACTTGGGAGTTAAAAGCACCAAGCCCATCTTATCTCAAACCACCTCACACAACATTGATATCCTATTCAATTGATTTCTTTTTGATTAATTTCTTTTCTTGCAGTCTCAATTTCTTTACTTCTTTAACTTTAGACACATTCACATCAACTGGAAAATGGAGGCTTTCGTCTGTCTTTCAACTTAGCACCCCACCCCTACTTGGCTCGCCAATTTCATTTTGATAATGAAGCAATAAACTTTAAGTATTCTAAAACAAGATGAGTGGCAAATGTATGTGCTGCAGTATCACCAGTTAACAAGACATTAGTAGCTTGCAACTATATGCTATAGATCATGCAACAAATTTAGCTGCATGGAACCACAGTTCAAATAAGCAAAGATCCCATGGATTCTGGTCAAATCTAGTGCAAGGAGGACTTTATTACTTAGATAAAATTATTGTAATGTAAAGATGGTAGTTCCATGCCTGACTTGACCAGAAATCATTATGTGACAGCATATCTATATTAGTTTAGAATGTGCTTTTAATCCAAACTCAAGATACCTGATTCCATTACAACCGAATATGAGATAACATTTTCAATGCATTGTTCATGAAAGCATCAGAGTCTTTGTAGCACTCCAAGGAAATAATAGTGCGAATGACATTAAAAGGGTAATCTAAAAGAATATTAAAGCAATCATGACAAATTACAAAAGGAAGAAAAAACTTGTACTCACCAACATACTTTCAGATGTTGGGGTAAGGAAAGAAATCTTCGCAGAATTGGAACCTTCCAACCCCAGAATGAGGCCATTATACCACCTTCCATCAGTATGCCGGAATCTGCACTTAGATCCAACTGAATAACTTTGATCTACCACTGGTTCTACTTCAACATCATTTGGATCAAGAGATTCCACTTTGACATCCTCGACATGGCCTTTTGGACCTTGTAGAACAAAATCAGCCTCTCGCAATAACCTTGCTCGTTTCAGGTGGAGAAGGCCTTCCTCAACATCTGCAATTGCCTGTACAAGCTCTGCTTGGACCTTATCAAAATGCACATCACAAATCCATTCAGCAATCAAGCAAAGCAAGAACCCACATACATATTTGCATTTACTTGGCAGTTCATAGTATATAATGATAAGTGCTTATCGAGGCTCGTATAAAACATTTAAATCATGTACCTCATTTCCCTGTATAATGGGATTTTCTCATCCGTATCACAACCTAGGATGAACTAAAATTAAAAAATTTCATTTGGTAAAATAAACATTTCCTGTCTCTAGATTAATCAACCGGGGCTTCACGACAATCTGCTACACTAATAACTCTGTTTTATCAGAGAATCGAGATCTCAAGAGTCAATATTTACTGTCTCTAGATTATTCAATTTGCCGGAACAGAATCAATTTCCAAATAAGCAATTTTCATGAATAAAAATCTGTTTTTATCTTTTCAGTTATTAACTAATTAAAATATCCAACCTAACCAATCTTTCAAAAACAATCTACACAACAGAAACAATTAGTCATGGAAAAGAGGAATTTTCGAAACCCTACGTTCTGACAAGAACTTACTAAAAACGGAAGAGAGAGAGAGAGAGAACTAACGGCGAGGAGTTCGGCGTTAGAAGGATCAAGGGCGAGAGCGTCGTTGAGGGTATTGAGAGAACCTCTCTGCTCCTGTAATTGAAGCTCCAGCTGCTCTTCTAGAGCCTTCTCGTCGTCGTCATCCGCCATCGCCCAACCTACGTGCTAGAGAAAACCCCAACGGATTACGGATGACTGAGAGTGAAATTACGGTGGGAGAAATTCCACCCTAGTATTTGGTAATTCTTTGTCTAGTGTTCCTTTTAAAATGGAAAAAAGAAGCTCCAGCTGCTCTTCTAGAGCCTTTTTTCCATTTTAAGTTTGGAGAGAGAGGAGAGGGGGAGAGGTTGTTTGAATTAAGGGTAAAATACAAGGAACCTTCTTATGGTTTCGCGAAAAGACACATTATCCCCTTATTATTTAAAAACCTCCACATAAACACTCTAAATTTCATAACTAAAGTGAAAATTACCTTCTGTTTACCGGCTGACTTTGTCAAAATCCTATCTCTTTTATCTGTGAACTCCTTTGGCATCGATGCAATGTTCAACTCTCTCAGCGTTTTAACGAATCTCAATCCATTCGGAACCATCTCCAGCTTTGGGCAATATACAATTGTCAATACCGAAAGGTTGGGCATGGCTCCTTCATCAACATTCCACTTCTCTAAGTTGTGTAGACATTCAAAACGAAGAAATCTAAGTTGGCCAAAACTTGTTGCCTTGTACCTCATCTCTTTCCCGAGAATATTTAGATTTCGCAAGTGAAGTGACCGGAGATTATGAAGCCTTTCCGGAGTTTCCATGGAATATTCCTCTATCCCCATTGTGGTTAGTTTCAATTTAAGAAGGCTTGCATACATGTATTGGGCTTCGTACTTGGGGAAATTGGCCAGTGGACCGTGTACCTCTAAGACTTGAAGATTGCGACTAGAGAAACATTGACCAATAGCATCTGACAATTTTTTCTTGGTTAAGGCAGCTTCAGGTTGTTTCGGGCCTTAGTTCAGAACTCGTAAATGTCAAGAAAGCTGCTGCTATGGATTCTGAAGTGCTTAATAGTGATGTCTTGAAGCTGTCGAAAGGAATTGGAAATATTGCTGAGGTTGTACGATCAATTGAAGCAGCAGGGTCAGCGGGGGGCAGCAGCCAGAAATTTTCTGAATCAATGAGTGGTTTCATGAAGATGGCTGAGGAGGAGCTTATAAGAATTCAAGCTCAAGAAAGTGTTGCACTGACGCTGGTGAAGGAGATCACAGAATATTTTCACGGAAACTCAGCGAAGGAAGAGGCTTATCCTTTCAGAATATTCATGGTTGTGAGAGACTTTCTATCAATTCTTGATCGGGTATGCAAGGAAGTCGGAATCATAAATGAGCGAACAATAGTTAGTTCCACTCACAAATTTCCAATTCCAGTGAATGTGAATCCTAATCTATAGCCAATTTCCAGTGCTTTTCCCGGAAGGCAGCGGTATAGTTCTTCAGATGATGAGTGCTCTTCACCTTAGTTCTTCGAGGAAGATGACAGCTTCTACTTGCTATCAGCGTCAAAATGCTAAGGTTTCTGGTCGATGAAATTCTTGTTGTTGCCTTATCAGAGGCATTGTTGGCTACTATGCTAATTAACAAGAACCATAAGACAGCAGCAAACACAACAGCTCCAGCTGTAGCCCGCAAAGCCTTCGTGAAGGGTAGCTTGAGAATGAAATATAGCAATTGAAGGGTAGCTTAGGAATGAAACTCAATGTCTTTTCAAAGAAATCTCGCATATCCATCGTCACTAGGTCGCACGCCCGGTTACAGGTCAATTTCCACTTTAGTTATGAAGTTTAGGGTATTTATGTGGAGGTTTCTAAACGATAGGGGGTAAGATGTCTTTTCGCGAAACCACAAGGGGGTTCCTTGTATTTTACCCTTGAATTAATGGAGTGAAAGGAAGGTATACACTTTGTTTAAGCTTGAATTTTCGTCGTTCATTCGTTCTTAATTATTTTTTTCTCTATTAATATATTTCAAATGAAAAGAAATTTAAGTAAAAAGGAATCAGAGAAAGAAATTCATCTTCAAAGCTTTCCATGCCTTAATGCCAATAGCTCACTGCTTTTAGCACTTCATCTTTGCCTTTGTGAAAGGAAAAATATCATTTGAAGAATTAAAGACAGTAGTGATTAACATATTAGTTGACGCTTTGCATTTTTTTTTTATTACATTTTTAATTTACATCATATATTACAGTGACATCATGTACTAAAGTAATATGGTCTTGGTTCTCCCATTTAATATCCAACTAGGCGGCTTTGCCTTGCTCTTCATGTAGGGTTGCCCATGATTTGGTGATGATGGTGTCTTTTTTTTTTTTGTTGGCATGTGTTTTATGATAACAGGAAAAATATGTTTTATCGAAATATTTATTAAAAGAAAAATATTTATTATGCAATTGTCCGCTATAGTATGCTTATTAATAGAAATTACAGAGGAAAAAGCACATTGGGGAGAAATAAAATAGAGGAAAAAATGGAAAATAATTGAAAAATTAAAGATGATGACATAGTATAAAAATTATTGTTATGCTATTGAAATGAAGAAATAGATAAATAATGGATAAAAATAGTGGTGATGAATGTGTGTAAAGAACATTAAAACTAAAGGGATCTTTTTAATTATTTTATAAATGAAAAAAGGAAAAAAATCTGAAATACAGAGAAATCTAAATACAAAGGGATATGGAGTGGAATTGATAGTAAAATATTTCACTAAATTTAAACAAGAAAAGGAAAAAATGTGAAATGTAGAGAAATGTGGAGTAAAATATATAAAATAATTTTTTTTAATCATGCGCTTTGTATTCAACTAGAGTTCAGCATATTCAATTATAAATGATTTAATTTTTTGTGAGGAACTGAGGGGTATTTGAAGCATAATTAACACTAAATTGTTTAACTAAATTCAAATGAAAAAAAAGGAAAAATTTTAAAATTTAGAGAAAATTGGAGTAAAAGCTATGAGATGATTTTTTTAATCATGTCATGTTTATTTAATTGGAATTCACCATATCTAATGGAAAAGATAATAATAATAATAATAATAATAATAATAATAATAATAATAATATTATTATTATTATTATTATTATTATTATTATTATTATTATTATTATTATGCTTTTAAAATTAAGTAATAAACAAATAATGTCCAGAAACAATAATAGTAGATTTGTCTAGAAAGTATTGAATAAGTGTCTAATCAAGAGATTTTTTTTATTTTTTTTAATATAAACAGAAAATATGTGGAATAAAATTTATAAATTTGGAACAAAATTCATGGAATCTTTTATTACACCATTCATTTATTAATATCAATACAAAGTAATCCATTCGTCCCACACTCATAGTCTATTTTTCATCTGTCCTAAATTATAGTTTCACTCCAATTCACGCAGATCTTATCTTAGAAAATGCTTTTTATTAGCGAATTAGTTTCACCCGAAGCATCGGACCAATGATGTTCGCCGCTACGGAGCTCTTTTATTAGCTTGTTTGTGAGCCTTACCTAGGACTCACTTTTCAATTAAAAAATATAATTAAATTTTAATTTCTCTAAAAATATCTATATTTAATGTACTTTATTATCAATGAGTATAATCTACTTTATTCATCAATTGCTTAGATTTAGGGTTTGAATGGTACAATTTTTATAGTATTGTTATTGTAATTAATGTAGAGGTATGGTGATTAGTTATACTTCTGATATTGGTTTAATGGTATTTTAAGAAAATACTAGACTGGATTTACTCTTTTAACAAAGTTAAGTAGCTTTTCTTAAACTATGTGCAAACAAATACTACCAAAGTAGAATGGAGGGAGTAATTAGGACACAATTTATCAAGCAAAAAGCTTTTCAAAGAAGCAAGCAGGTAAAAATAAATTAGCCTTGCATTCTCTATGTGTAGCCATTTTCAACTATTAAACATTTATTTTTCTATTATCTAAAAGTCATTGAAACAATTGGTGCTCAGCGCATTTAATACAAAAAACAATTAGCATAATTATTTTTTAGCAACGAAGAAATAAATAAATGGTGCATAAAAATAGTAATAGTTAATGTATCCAAAGAGCACTAAATAAGTGTCCAATCAAGGAAACTTCTATTTTTTCGCTAATATAGAAGAATTTGGAGCAAAATGTATCCTGATTTTTTGTTAGATTATTAGATTATGTTCATGAATGGCAAGCATCTTTCACTAATATAGAGAAATTTGGAACAAAATTTATCCTGGAATTTTTTGTTAATTATGTTTATTAATACAAAGTAATAGTTAGGAAAAAAGTCATTTAAGGAGGGGGAAAACTCAAAGAAACAGGTCAAGAAATAATAAATTTTGCTTTATATGTTGTTTGTTTAACCATCTATTGCTATTACTATTTTTTGGCTATTTAAAACATACATAAGTAATTAAAGCTCACCATTATTTTTTGTCAAGACTTTATATGTTGTTTGTTTAATCATATATTGCTATTATTACTTTTTGACTATTTAAAATGTACGCAAGTAATTAAAGCTCACCACACTTTGTTTTCTTTTTGAGCAATATAGAAAGATTTTGATCAAAATTAGTATTAAAATATTCAATTGAATTTGGAACAAAATGATATTAAAATGCTGTTTTTTTCACGCAAGTAATTAAATGATGCATAAAAATAGTAGCAATGAATTCCTGACAAAAAGTGTCATATAAGTGGACACTGAAGGGACCCTTTATTTATTTGTTTACTTTTGGCAAGGAATATAGACAAAGCTCACCATACCTCTTCTTCTTTTCCAGTAATGTAGAAGAATTTCAAACAAAATCGGTATTAAAATATTCAATTGAATTTGGAACAACATTATACTAATTTTTTTGAATTTGTGCAAAAAGTGCTATATAAGTGGCCACTCAAGGAACCCTTTATTATTATGTTTTAGCAACGAAGAAATAAATAAATGGGGCATAAAAATAGTAATAGTTAATACATCCAAAGAGCATTAAATAGGTGTCCAATCAAGAAAGGTTCTCATTTTTCGCTAATGAGTAAATCGTTCCTACACTAACAGTGTATACACTATCATCGTTAGATTCATGACATGTGTGCAAAAGTTGAATTTCAAAGTCAAATTTTGCATAGTTGTCAATCATCCAACGTTGATAGTGTATACACTGTCAGTGTTGGAAAGATTAATCCTTTCGCTAAGAGTAAATATCTCCTACACTGACAGTGTATACACTATCATCGTTGGATTCATGACATGTGTGCAAAAGTTGAATTTCAAATTCAAATTTTTCATAATTG